CCTCATCCTCATCCTCATCTCATCCTCATCCTCATCCTCATCATCAGCATCATCATCAGCATCAGCATCAGCATCATCATCATCATCATCATCATCATCATCATCATCATCATCATCATCATCATCATCATCATCATCATCATCATCATCATCATCATCATCATCCTGCTCCTCCGCCCTTTCCTCCGTCTTCATGCTCCTCCGCCTCACTTCCTACTTTTAATTGCGCCATCGTCCTGCTCCGCCTCCTCACAGCCTCCTCCTCCTCCTCATCCTCCTCCTCATCCTCCTCATCCTCCTCTTCCTCATCCTCCTCATCCTCCTCTTCTTTCTCTTCCTCCTCCTCCTCATCCTCCTCCTCCGTCTCCTGCACCAGGAATGGACGCTTGGAACACGGCGTCCAAAATCGATTGGAAACACCAGCGGCCTGAAGAGGACGATCCGGCCCCGCTCCGTGCGGTACGCCTTGATGCCCTGCATGGGGCTCGGGAGGACCGGGAGATGGCCGCTCAAAGCATATAGAAGAACCATTCCCATTAGACAGTCTGAAACTGGCGTATCACGGCCGAGCTGGGTATGTTTTAAACTAACCTGGACCTGGACAGCCTTGTATTCCTCCGACCACACCTACCTTGGCCAGGCTGACCATCGAGAACATTTACTCGGCCTTGACATCAGTTTGAATACACACACGCAAACGTACAGATTTCCTCCGACGCGCCAAACAGCCCAGTCGGCGGGCCATGTTATGGCACGCGTTAGCAAGGAATGGAATTCCTTGTGCAACAGCGCGATCCGACGACATTCCCAGGTGCGCGCAGTGGCGGCCTGGGGTCGAAACGGTGGGCGGCAGAGGGCAAAGCGAAAGGTTCAGGATTGGACTGGAGCGGCCGAGCGGCCGAAAAGCAGGGAAAAAGGGGCACCAGCAGGCCAAGCCAGGTGAGCGCGGAGCCGAGAGATCGGCCCCAAAGGCCGCGAGGAAACAGAGCCTGCGCGGCAGCGGGAAAGGGCCAGAAAGGGAGGGCAAAGAAGGGGAGGGAGAGGGGGGAGGAGGAGGAGGAGGAGGAGGAGGAGGAGGAGGAGGAGGAGGAGGAGGAGGAGGAGAGGAGGAGGAGGAGGAGGAGGAGAAGGAGGAGGAGGAGGAGGAGGAGGACGAGGAGGGACGAGGAGGACGACGAGGCTGACGAGGAGGACGAGGAGACGAGGAGGAGGAGGAGGAGGGACGAGGAGGACGAGGAAGGAGGAGGAGGAGAGGAGGAGGAGGAGGAGGAAGAGAAGGAGGAGGAAGAGGAGGACGACGATGACGATGACGAGGAGGAGGAGGAGGAGGAGGAGGAGGAGGAAGAGGAGGAGGACGGGGAGGAGGAGGAGGAGAGAGGAGAGAAAGAAGGGGAGAAGGGAGAAGGGGAGGAGGAGGAGGAGGAGGAGGAGGAGGAGGAGGAGGAGGAGGAGGAGGAGGAGGAGGAGGAGGAGGAGGAGGAGAGGAGGACGAGGAGGACGAGGAGGACGAGGAGGAGGACGAGGAGGTGGAGGAGAAGGAGGAGGAGGAGGAGGAAGAGGAGGAGGAGGGGAGAGGGGAAGAAAAAGGACTGGAACTCTGACCGGCGTTTCTATTTTTAACGGCCACCTCACGGGCGACCCCCTGCTCTCGGGCGGGGCCGCAATGCCCCATCAGAGGCAACCCCCCAGGAGGAACGCACCCGCAAAGGCGCCTTTTGGGGACCGGTGAATTACACCTATCCTCAAGCTCCCCCGACGAACGACGACGCGGGGAAGGCACGTAGGCACCCCGCCCCTGCCTCAACAACACGGAACCCGAAGGCCACGACCGCACTGCTAAAGCAGGGGAGGGGGTTGCGGGCGCTGCAGGGGCGCCTGGGGCCTAGGAGACGTCTAAGAGAGACGGGAAAAAAAGCTGCACAAAAACCTGGATGGCAAATCGTCTTCCCAGCGAGGCCCCGCGGACCTGCCCCCCCCATTCGCCCCTGTCCTCTGGGCGTTGCCCTTGAAAGAACGGCGGGGGCGGGCGGGAGGGAGGGGCCGCAGGGGAGGGCGCGGCCCTATGCCGAAGCAGATAGGGCAGTACTCTACCCCGCGCATTCAGATCACGGAGCCGGACACAATCTCGGAGCGCTGGCGAATGTCCCACTCCCGCGGGCTGCTGTTTTCCACGGGGCCCATCATCTCTCACATCCAATTGAAAGAGCAACTTCGCTGCATCTCGGTCCAATGGGCCGCGGGGTGGAGGGCCGACAAGGCGCTCGCCTTTGATGTCCGCCACCGCCATGCGCAACAACGGGATCCACTTGCGGCCCATCTCGCGGTTGGAGTCGATCGCCGCTATCAGGCGGCCTTGCATCTCAAGGGCGGTCTCGCTCTCGCTGCGTACCCACTGCCAGCGAAGGGCGATCTCGCCAACTGCACGCAGTGAGAGCTGCTTCACACGAGCGAGGCAGAAGTCCTTCATCTCGTTGCCCCACTGGGTCTCCTGCTGGGCCAGCCACATCAATCCGCCGATGATGCGCGTAGGTGCGGTGGGTCTCGACCTTTCAAATTCACGGCCTCACCCCTTTTTTCCGCTTCTCTGCCAGCTCCTGGGACATCTCTTGATACCGCCGACCTGCGATCTCCGTCGCGTCGGAACACCCCCCCCCCCGGATGAGTACGAGCGCCCAGGTTACGCGCGCCGCCGCCGACAGCTCTGCGATGGCCCTGCTGTCTGCGAGCACCAAGCGCGCGGTGAGCACGACCGGCTTCGCGATGATCTCGCCATCGGACTTGCCTGCCCGGATCTGCGCCACCACCCTGGCCTTCTTGGAGCCCGGAGTTCCCCAGCAGGCGGGGCCGCTCCAAGCCGGTCGGGCGCCCCCATGCGCCCCAGCTGCCGTCGCGGAGCCATCGCGGTTCTCGGACGGCGGCAACACTACTCGAGGAAGATGGCCGCGGAGGCGATGGCGTACATCACCTGGGTCGGCTGCTCTATATTCGCAGCGGGCACACTGCAGGGAGATCACGGGCTGGACTGGGAGGGGCGCAAGGGCGCCACTGTTAGGACAGGTGGCCTGTAAAGAGGGTTCGCTGGAGGCGCTCGCAGGCGCCCCCCCGGCACCCGAACGCCCCGCGGCAAACGGCGCCAGTATCTGCAGGGGCTGGAACGGAGCAGGGGTTCGGACCAGGCGGGCTCTTCTCATATGATTTAGATAGTCACGTCGAGCCCTGAAGGTGCAACCATCTGTTTTCCCCCTCCTCGAGCTGCCAGTCGCACCCCCACTCTCTCTCTCTCTCTCTCTCTCTCTCTCTCTCTCTCTCTCTCTCTCTCTCTCTCTCCTCTCTTTCTCTCTCTCTCTCTTCTCTCTCTCTCTCTCTCTCTCTCTCTCTCTCTCTCTCTCTCTCTCTCTCTCTCTCTCTCTCTCTCTCTCTCTCTGCACCTCAACGCGCGGAAACGCGGAAACAGGCGCCGTCTTCACGCGGGTCGGCGATGCCGCGCGCGACTGGGCCCGAGCTCTGGTCTCCGCGAAGTCTAACTGAGCTCATCTAAAACATCCTTGGCGACCATGCGTCCAGGATTGAAACAGACATAGTTTCATAATTCCTGCCCCCCGCCCAGGTCCTCGGCGGCCCTCTGGAAGTCCTCCTGGAGCCACCTGCGGAGCCGCGGCAACGCGGCCCTCGATGGAAAGTCTCCAATTCAGCGATATCCTCTGCCCCTCGAAACTTCTAGAAACCCAAATAGAAGACAGCGCTCCTGGGAGCGCCTCCCTGGGCCCTCCCAGCCCATGCACTATTGCAGACGGCAGATAATAAGCTCCGTCTCCGAAGGTACGATCCTCAAATATGACGGAATCTGCTTCGTCGCCATCGATCGGAACACGTCTTCACGATACGTCGCAGCTCGGCCGCGCATCGCTCGTCTACCGAACCGGGCAGCGCGACCGTCGAGTCGACCACGGTGGTCCGGGCCAAGCAAGGGGAGGCCCCAGGCCTCAGAAGGCTACATCCTGCACACAATTAACGAACAGCGTCCGCAGCCAGCAGCGCGGAAGTGAGAGGGACCACACTCTGCCCAATGAATCAAGAGCCTGCACTTGCTGCGCAGGGTCGGCCAAACTCGACCTCGGCCGACTGGCTTAAATTCAGCATCGGGCCGAGGTAGCGCACTGCGCCCTTGAGATTGCCCGGCGCAAACTCCGCATGGGATCGCGCCCACCGTCTGCGCGTCGCGGACCCGCCGCGTGGAAATACATGAAGTTCCTGTTTTGCTGGGTTTCGAGCGCGCCCCACCTCCCCGAGATTTCCATTGAGATCGTCGTCGCAATTTCTCAACATGCCCAGGTCGTCTTTCAAGGGGACTGGGACAGAAACCAGATGAGCCCGGAAGACGTCGTCGGCACACGTGCCCCCCCCCCAACGTTTGCCAACAAATTCCCTCCACCTCTGTTAATTCAATAGATTATATATATATATACTGGATCAAGCATTTCCATCTCGTTAGCGGCCGTTCGAACGTGCCCCGAAAAAGCAGAACAGCGAACGGGCGCCCTGGCCCGTCTGCTAGGTGACCTCCCCCTCTAGAGTCTCCAGGGAAATCGTGCTGAACTTGAAACGCTGAATGGAAAAGTCGAGATCCCCCGACTCGGCGCGCAAGTTAACCGCCTCCTCCAGCCTCCCCCCAGACCTTCCACGCACGAAGGCGTTGCTCAGGTCCTTACAGCTCAGAGCAAAGCAGCGGCCTGCTTCGCGCGGGCGCCAACTGGGAATCTGATTCACAAAGATGGCGCCCTCGCGCCTCTTGCACAGGATGAAGCCGGGGGAAAAAGAAAATCTTGGCCTGGGCACTCATCACATGCACAATCCGACGCCCCCATCGGGCCTGGAGTAGAGGTCTTCCTCAACTGGGCGCCCTGACTGCGACGCCATGCAATCGGGGCTCTGTTGGTCGATCGGATCTGCCGTAAGGCAGTTTTAATGAATTCAGAAAAGCATTCCATATCTGGCATATTCAAATCAAATCCTAGCCCATATCCTGCACTCAAGGTTTCGCTCGGGATCGCGGCACAAAATCCAAAGCTCCATTGGAAAAGTAATGGCTGGCGCAGCTCGTCGCTTTTGTGCCCGTCGGAAATTACGCTCGACCTGCCGAAAGTCTATCTGCGCCATCTCGCAGTCGTCAACACTAGTTTAGACAGGACCAAAATCAGGGCAAAATGCTTGCGCTTGCTCGACGGTCTTAGGCGCTGTGCCCATGCCACCCCCTGCGCCACGACATGCCCAGAACGAACTCAGCTCCGCCACCGCGAGCGCGCTACCTCGCATGAGTCGGCCATCTCGCCTTCCCGCTCCGCATCCGCGCGCACCCGCAAGCCTGGTGGGGCTCATAGCTTCAGCGAGCCTCCTCCTGTTCTACGCGTCGTCGACTTCCTGCCATAGGTCCTCTCGTCGGCGTCGACGAATGCTTGTCGCTGAAGCTTGAGTTGTTGAGAAATCAGTCGCAGCTCTGCTCCGCAAAGTGCCAGTTGTTCGTCATCTGCACGAGTGCGCTCCAATCGTAATCTGGCCCGTTCTCGTAGTAGCCGTTATCGTTGTTTTTTTCTCTCTGGTCTATCTCGTCCGTCGTTCCCTTAGCCTTGAAGAGGAGCTGTCCAAACTCGATGAGCCGGTCGACCACGCGTAGGCAACTCTCGCCACGTATCTTCCTCTTCCAGCAATTTAGCTTGAACGGCATGTAAGAATTCGGGGCGTTGGCCTCCTCTGCGCACTGCTTCAATAATGGCACCCATATTCCAGTGAGGGCGAATCTTTTTCCCGCGGGGCTTAATTCTTCACACATACCATCTCCACGTAGAGTGGCACGCGATCTCTTGGCGGTCGTCCACGGCACGCCCGAATTGAGGCTCCAAGTCGATACAATGGGTGGCATACCGTCACACAGTCCGTCATGCCCAGGGGGCGCACATAAAGTCAATAGAGCTCTGATCACCGGATGTGCCAAAGAATGTGGGTTGCAAATCCGTCGTTCGTGTATTCACTGCCACTAAATGCTGCTGCTCATGAATATGCCGTAGTCGTTCGCCTGCTCCGTCTCTTCGGTGTTCACGGCTGCGGTCAGCTCCGACTACGTTGGTGCCCATTTGCTGCCATGAACCGCCTGCGCGACTGATGTCTTGCCCGTCGTCGAGGTCCGCGTACAAGATGGGCGTGCTCCTGAGGGGGAGCGCCGGAAGTACGGAGTCTTACCAATCGATGAGGATACGAACTGCCTGAAGGTAGTTGGAGCCTGTGTCGCGCACTTCGGCTGAGGGGGAAAGTAGAATACGATCATCGTGACGTCCACTGGGCCCCGTACAATGCTGACTGCCATGGCACGTCCGAAAGCCCCTGGGGGTGGGCCACATTCTTCGAATATTCGTCAACGAGAAAGAACGATGTATAACCATAACTTGCCGATCGATTGGTATAGGGGCCGTCTCCTGCTTCTGTCTCCAATACTTAGTGCCCCGATACCCGCCTTCCCAAGATCCCCTGGCTTTTATGTCCATGTTGGGAACGCCATAATCATTTTTCCCTACCCTCCTTGTGTTGGGTACTCGTTTTAACAAGAGAACTGTGGTATCCACTTCCCGCCCGTTCCTCCTCCTTCTCTCCTGTGTTCGCGGTGCCCTGCGGGGCTGCGATTTGCGCAACTGTCGCCACTGTCATGGGCTCCTGGCTGTCCCCTGCGGGGCTGCGATCTGCGCAACTGTCGCCACTTTCGTGGGCTCCTGGGAAGCCCAGCGGAGGTACGTCATACGCAGATCACTTTGAGGCCTCCCTGTCCCCTGCGGGGCTGCGATCTGCGCAACTGTCGCCACTTTCGTGGGCTCCTGGGAAGCCCAGCGGATGCGCCAGGCGCGCCAGGTGCGGCAGGTGCGCCCAGCGCGCCAGGTGCGCCAGGTGCGCGCCAGGTGCGCGCCAGGTGCGCGCCAGGTGCGCCAGGTGCGCCAGGTGCGACAGGTGCGCCAGGTGCGCCATGCGCGCCAGGCGCGCCAGGTGCGCCAGGTGCGCGCCAGGTGCGCCAGGTGCGCGCCAGGTGCGCCAGGTGCGCGCCAGGTGCACCAAGGGGGCGCACCTGGCGCACCTGCCATACCTAGCGCAGACCTGGCGCACGTGGCGCGCCTGTCGCACCTGGCGCACCTGGCGCACCTGGCGCGCACCTGGCGCACAAGGCGCACCTGGCTCACTTGGCGCGCCTGGCGCACCTGGCGCACCTTGCGCACCTGGCGCAACTGGCGCACCTGGCGCACCCAGCGCGCACCTGGCGCACACGAGGCGCACACTTGGCGCAACTGGCGCACCTGGTGCGCGCCTGGCGCGCACCTGGCGCGCACCTGGCGCGCACCTGGCGCGCACCTGGCGCGCACCTGACGCGCTGGGCGCACCTGGCGCGCTGGGAGCACCTGGCGCGCACCTGGTGCACCTGGCGCGCTGGGCGCACCTGACGCACCTGGCACACCTGGCGCACCTGGCGCACCTGGCGCGCCTGGCGCGCATGGCGCACCTGGCGCGCCTGGCGCAACTGGCGCACCTGGCGCACCTGGCGCGCCTGGCGCAACTGGCGCACCTGGCGCACCTGGCGCGCCTGGCGCGCACCTGGCGCACACCTGGCGCACCTGGCGCACCTTGCGCATCTGGCGCACCTGGCGCACCTGGCGCACCTGGCACACCTGGCGCACCTGGCGCACCTGGCGCACCTGGCGCGCTAGGCGCACCTGGCGCACACCTGGCGCACACCTGGCGCACCTGGCTCACTTGGCGCGCCTGGCGCACCTGGCGC